CAGTTCCGGGTGAGATTTTATTATAAGCGCACTGAAGAAATACACATTTTATAAATCCCAAAAATGGGCCGAAATTCGGAATGTCACAACTTTTCCCCCTTACAAAAATTTCGTCCTCGAAATTTACAATCTAACCCAACTATTCGAACAAATGGGGGTATTGGTGTCGCATCAACTCTTCGCTTTCCCATGTCGCACCTTCGGTTCCATGATACTCCCAAATTACTTTGACCATCGGAATTGTCTTATTCCACAACACTCGCTCCATTCTATCCTCGATTCTTACTGGTCTTTCCATATACGACACTATGTCGTCCACGTCTATTTCTTCCTAATTTAGCACGTGGGTCAGGTCCGGTTCATACTTCCTTAACATAGACACATGGAATACATTGTGAACTTGGGATAAATTCGGCGGTAGCGCAAGACAATAGGCCAAGGTGCCAATTCTCCCTAAGACCTCAAATGGACCCACGTACCTCGGGCTCAACTTCCCTTTCTTGCCAAACCGTGACAATCCTCTCATCGGCGACACTTTGAGGAAAACGTGGTCTCCCACTTGAAATTCCAAAGGCCTACGTCTCCGGTCTGCAAAATTCTTTTAGCGGCTCTGAGCTGTCTTAAGCCTATCCCGAATCACCTTGGCCATTTCGACTGACTGCTGAACCAACTCTGGGCCAGTGATGCTCCTCTCACCAACTTCATCCTAACAAATCGGTGTTCTGCAAGCTCTGCCATACAGCGCCTCAAATGGTGCCATTCTGATACTCTGCCGATAGCTATTATTGTAGGCAAATTCAACCAAATGCAACTGTTCCTCCCAATTACCTTTAAAGTCCAATACGCATGCTCGCAGCATGTCTTCCAAAGTCTGAATCGTCCTTCCAGACTGGCCGTCCATTTGGGGATGATAAGCCGTGCTAAACTGTAACTTCGTTCCTAATGTCGTATGAAGACTTTTCCAAAAAGCGGCTGTAAATTTAGGATCACGGTCTGAAGTGATCGTCACTGGCACTCCGTGCAGACGGACTATTTGTCGCACGTAAATCTCGGCATACCTTTCCAAGGCGAAGTCCTTTCGCACCGGCAGAAAATGTGTTGACTTTGTCAATCGGTCGACTATCACCCAAATCGAATCATGACCCCTCTGATTCCTTGGTAATCCCATTACAAAGTCCATTGTGATGTGTTCTCACTTCCACTCAGGGATTTCCAATGGTTGAAACATTCCACCTGGCTTGCAATGTTGTGCCTTCACTTGTTAACATGTTAAACATTTGGCCACGTGCTTGGCTACATCCATTTTCATGCCGTTCCATCAATAATGCTGTCGCAAATTCTGATATATCTTCATACTACCCGAGTGAATACTAGAATTACTACGGTGTGCTTCAGACAAAATCTCCTCCTTAAGTTCTGCATCATTGGGCACACACAACAGTCCACAGAACTTCAGAATCCCGTCCTCGGGTACCTGGAAGTCCGATTTCCTTTTTGCGACATCCATTTTCAGAACCTTTTGAATCTCCGGGTCCGTCAATTGTAAAGCCTTAATCTTAGTCTGGATTTCCGGTTCAATTCTCAATGCTGCAAGCAAACTCGAGACATGACTCACTTCAAACTTAAATTCCAAATCCCGAACTCCCTCCAACAGAGTCCATTCCTTGACCATCATTTACACGATGCTCGATTTCCGGCTCAGTGCATCCGCTACTTTATTAGCTTTTCCAGGGTGACACATAATCTTGCAGTCATAGTCCTTAAAGAGTTCTATCCAACGATGCTGTCTCATGTTCAATTCCTTTTGGGAGAATAAGTACCTTAAACTCTGATGGTCCGTATAAATCTGAAATTTCTCCCCACACAAGTAGTGTCTCCAAATCTTAAGGGCGAAGATAATCGCGGCCAATTCCAAGTCGTGTGTCGGATAATTTAGCTCATGCGGTCTCAATTGTCACGATGTGTATGCCACTACTCTTCCGTGTTGCATTAGCATGCATCACAGTCCTCTTAGCGACGCGTCACTATAAATCTCATATCCTCCCGGACCTGACGGGATTGTCAACACTGGCACGGTCGTCAATCTCTACTTTAACTCTTGAAAACTCCTTTCACACTTATCCGTCCATTCAAACCCCATCTCCTTCTTTAATAACCGTGTCAACGGCATCGCTAATGCCGAAAACCTTTCCGCGAAGCGTTTGTAATACCCTGTCAGACCCAAGAAACTTCGAACCTCTATCACTGTTGTCGGTCTTGGCCAATTCGTAACTGCCTCAATCTTTGTCGGGTCCACTGAAATTCCATTCCTAGAAGTTACGTGTCCAAGAAATGCTACCCGATTTAGCCAGGACTCGCACGTACTAAACTTGGCATAGAGTGCGTGTTCTCTTAAAGTCCGTAGAACCATCCGTAGATGTTGCTCGTGTTCCTCGAGGCTCTTTGAATACACTAAGATGTCGTCGATGAATACAATAACGACTGATCCAAGAATTCCTTAAACACCCGATTCATCGAATCCATGAAAGTAGCTGAGGCGTTAATCAATCCAAATGGCGTCACTGTAAACTCATAGTGCCCATATCCCGTCCTAAATGCCGTCTTCGACACATCCTCCTTCTTAATCCTCAATTGATGATAGCCAGTCCTTAAGTCGATCCTTGAAAATATCGATACTCCTTGCAACTGATCAAACAGGTCATTTATCATTGGCAATGGGTACTTATTCTTAATGGTTACCTGATTCAACTATCTGTAGTCAATGCACAACTTTAACGATCCATCCTTCTTCCTTACGAATAAAACTGGCGCTCCCCATGTAGACGCACTCGAGCGAATAAAGCCCTTATCTAACGACTCCTGCATTTGAACCTTTAATTCTTTTAATTCTGACAACGACATCCTATAGGGTGCTCTCGAGATCGGTTCTGTTTCTAGGGCCAACTCAATCATGAACTCCACTTCTCTATCACGTGGCAATCCCAGCAATGACCCTCTTAAGTTTTAAGTAAATTCAGAAAAATGACAAAATAGGTTCCTTAACAACTAAAGATAACTTTATGTACTTACTTCATATTTTTCACAATATTTGGATTTTACATACTCAAATAGTCGTATTTTCAATTTTTGGTAAACTGAGATGAGATTTCTTATCATAAAAAGAATAAGAATAAATTGATATGATTTACTTGGAAACCTGCGATGGCCCTCTTAAGTTTTAAGCAAATTAAAAAAAATGACAAAATAGGTTCCTTAACAACTAAAGATAACTTTATGTACTTACCACATATTTTTCACGATATTTGGATTTTACATACTCAAATAGTTGTATTTCCAATTTTTGGTAAATTGAGATGAGATTTCCTTTTATAAAAAGAATATGAATAAATGGACACGATTTACTTCAAAACTTTCGATGACCCTTGTAAGTTTTAAGCAAATTCAGAAATTTATGACAAAATAGGTTCCTCTATATAACTTTATGTACTTACCGCATATTTTTCACGATATTTGGATTTTACATACTCAAATAGTCGTATTTCCAGTTTTTGAAAAATTGAGATGAGATTTCTTATCATAAAAAGAATATGAATAAGAGGACACGATTTACTTCGAAACCTGCGATAACCCTTGTAAGTTTTAAGCAAATTTAGAAATTTATGACAAAATAGGTTCCTTAACAACTAAAGATAACTTTATGTAGCTACCGCACATTTTTCACGATATTTGGATTTTACATACTCAAATAGTCGTATTTCCAATTTTTGGTAAATTGAGATGAGATTTCTTATCATAAAAAGAATATGTATGAATAAATTGACACGATTTACTTGGAAACTGGCAATTACCCTCTTAAGTTTAAGCAAATTTAGAAATTTATGACAAAATAGGTTCCTTAACAACTAAAGATTAACTTTATGTACTTACCGCCCATTTTTCACGATATTTGGATTTTACATACTCAAATAGTTGTATTTCCAATTTTTGGTAAATTGAGATGAGATTCCTCATCATAAAAAGAATATGTATGAATAAATGGACGTGATTTACTTGGAAACCTGCGATGACCTTCTTAAGTTTTAAGCAAATTCAGAAAAATGATAAAATAGGTTCCTTAACAACTAAAGATAACTTCATATGCTTACCGCATATCGTGAACTCAAATAGTCGTATTTCTAATTTTTGGTAAATTGAGATGAGATTTCTTATCATAAAAAGAATAAGTACGAATAGGACACGATTTACTTTGAAAGCTACAATGACCCTTATAAGTTTTAAACAAATTTAGAAATTTATGACAAAATGGGTTCCTTCACAACAAAAAATAACTTTTTGTGCTTACCCCATATTTTTCACGATATTTGGATTTCACATACTCAAAAAGTCGTATTTCCAATTTTTGATAGGTTGAGATAAGATTTCTTATCATAAAAAGAATACGAATAAATGGACAGGCTATCCCTGAAGCATCAGAAGTCATGACACGGGGTCCAACTTAACTCCATGTCTGACTCTTCATCGCAAACAGATAGGTAGAACTTCTATTCCATTTCGGTATGCTTGTAAGACGAGTCTGTTTTGTGAAAATAGAACTTGAAATCACAGTTGAGCGTGCCCCCCATGTATTGAGTTGAGGACCATCTTACAGTCTGAACCGCCCCGACGCTGACCGCAGCGCTTTGTCAAGTTCCACATTTCATCCCTTCGTATAAGTTACAAGCAGTCTAAAAGGGCACTCAGTTCTCTACTCGTGCCAGAAGATGACGAACAGCATAAGCTTAACACATAATCTAAAAGCCACAGATCAGATACAGAAATTGCTCGAGAAGTAAAAGGAGGGCATAAGCTTCAAAAATGCATCGCATATGTACAAGTCAGAAGATGAAAGGTATCACATGATGATTACTCATTCTGCTGTTCAATTCCACAGATGATGACAAGGATATCTGAGGAGAACAGACTATAGAGCATCAACCAAATTCCTACCAAAACCAATGAAGTTTGGTCAATCTCTCTTCATTTCTTTTTTTCTTTCTTATTTGATAGAGGGGGGTGGGGTAACTGTACAGAGAATGGTAGCAAAAGATTCTATACAATGCTCTTGCAGAATAAACACGACAAGCAGCACTAATGAGGCATACACTTGCTGCTGGTGTAAAAGACTACTGGAATCACTAAGGTATTGCAAGGATGGACTAGAAAACTGCCAAAATATCGACAATTAAATGTGATAACCAAATATTTCTCTAATAATACCCTCTCCATAAACTTTTCCTTCAAAAACTGTGCATGGTAAAAGGCGCACCAGCATCGACAAATCTTGGACCAGCTCCCGCCTCAGAGAAACATTTCCATGCCATCTGCACATTCTTCAGGGTCAAATTAAGAACTATACCAATTCTGTTTGCTGATAATCTTCAGATAACCTACCCATCATCCCTCCTATCCTCCGAAGACAGCTTTCATCGCTTCAGCAGTCATGAGAGCAACCACAGCTCTGTGAACTGCTACATCTGCTTTGCAAAGAAGTCTCTGCGCCTTCTCTCTCTTAAGCTTAGCCAAATTAGATGCATACAGCGCTGCACCAGATGCATCCAACAATTTATATTCGTCCATATCCATCCGGTCCCACTGCTCACTAGATGGTCTATGAGAGACTTCAGATGAAAATCGTTGATGAGAATTCCAGTGAAGGGTATTCTTTTTACTGCCCGTGGTTCCCCTACTGTAGGCAGTGACCATCTGTGAATGTCGAGGGGATGCAACAGCACCAGATTTCTTTGACTTATGTCTCTGTAGTCTCGGAGAATAATTTCTATTGGATCCATCATTGCCAATTGGGAAATATCCCTGGCCAGGGACATCTCGCGGAGAATATCCCAATGGAGATGCTTGTGCCAACTGAGAACTGTCTACATGTCCATAGTTATGTCCCAAATAGAGGGCCCTATCATCTCCAAAACTAGGTCCGTTCAATCTTCTCCCTGACAGGAACACAAAAAAAAAATGATGTCAAAATTCTGGATCCAAGTAAAAATAGCCCAAAAAAGTTTTACGCTTAGTGACATGACATTACCAAAAGCATGAAAACTGTCGTGATCTCCATGAAAACCATTGCTTTGCCCTGTGACTGAGAATCGTTTTTGAGACCTTTGCTTTGAACCTTTGTTAGGAACTTCTAAGCCCCTAGGTTTCATACAAAAAGCAAACATGGGAGGTCTTTCAGTGGCTGAAGCCTTCTGACATCCATCGGAAGCAGCAGAGTTCCCTTTATTCAAAGCTAGCTCCCACTCTCTCAACTGCTGCTGGTAGATTTCCCATAATGGCGGCTGCAAAGCATGAGCAAGAATTGAATAAAAGATACCATGACATTTTAAATCACAAGTTCGAAAAAGTGCACACTTAAGCAATGTGCACACAAAGGTAACAAACAGGATTAATGATGACAGGAAGATCTAATTAACAAAAGAAGAGAGATACAAATTAGCATCTGATTCTTAATAAAACGTATAATCAACTAATTAATAAATGAACTACTCGGGAGCTAATTTGAAAAGCTATTTGTTTCTTTGTTAATGCTCAATGCCATGTTAATTGAAAACCAAGCGCTACCATCATGCACGGAGGCCTGAGAAGTTGATATTACTATATACTAATTATGCAAGAATGAAAAAGGAAGATCACAAAAACCAGATATTTCCACATACTCCAGTGCAGAAAGCAGCCCCATTATCAGACAAAATTCCAAAGCACAATTCCAGTACAAGATAAAAATGAAACAGGCATGGAAGAGAGGAACAAAGCAATCACATACCAACAGGTACCCCGACAATCCTTTCGATCCACTCAAACAAAGTAGATGCCAAATTTAAAAAAAAAAAAAAACGAGCATCTCAACATGGATACATTCATCTGGAAAACCGAGTGACGGAAATCGTTCCCAACGGTGGATTACCAGAAATTGCAGAAAGCCGAGTTAAATGCAGCGCCTCACATAAATGTGTACCTGGACAAAATCAATAAACGAAAAGAAAAAGGTTTTTAAAAGGCACCTGAAGATGTCGAATCAATGCCATTCCTTTCTTTTGCCTCTTCTGCCACCAATGTTCATAAATACCTCTCACCACCAGCCCTGCACTCAACTTCAGATCGTCCATTTCGTCGGATGTGAAATGGTCACGCTGCAGAGCATGAGCTTTCTTCTCGAACATGTCCATTGTCCTCTCAAATATCTCCACAGATATGCGCCCAGAGCCATTATCATGAACATCTGAAGAACTCTGACAAGATGAAATCCACCGCTCATCATCACTATCCATGTCATATAGGACACAAGACGGATTCAAGGCCATTTCAACATCTGTTTCAACCTGCTGGAAGTAGATAGCAGAACTGCGAAATGACAGCTCCATTCCATTATCATCATAATCTTCCACCACGCGGACACCAGGAATCGGAATGTTTTTTACTGATGCAGCACGGAAGTTCCTGTTGTAACACTCTTCATGCATCTCCTTGAAAAGAGCCCATTGGCTTCTGTCTGGAAATTCAAGTGTCCACTCTTTCCCTCCTCGCCACATCATAGCATGTGTATACCTGTTAGTGGACCCAGGCTGCAGAAACTGATGCGCTTTATGAGAATATTTTGTGGTTCCTGAGACTTTTACTACAAGGTGCCACTCATTCTCAACAAGTTCAAGTACCACCTCTGCCCCACTCTCTCTCCATCCCCTGTCCCCCACTGTGATTAACAAGTTTGCATGACAGGATAAAGACTCCCAGTTTCTTTGAGAAACTCGCGCCACATCTGAGGCCCTCTTTTCATTGGGTCTCCTGATTCTTTTGTGAGGAATTGTTCTCTGTTGTGGCTTTGAGCTTGAACCTGAAACCCCGGAAGGATATGAGTAAGTGACATGTGTCCGCGGCTTCTTTGGTCCATTGCCAAAACTATTTAGGGAACCGTCAGATTTTGCATCTGACCAACCACGTGAGAAGTGTCCATAAAATGAACTACTTCTACTGCGATGCCATACACTTCTTGGTGCGGTGGGATTTGGACTAGGGGCGAGGTTGCCATTCATATCGCAAGCCATATCAGTAGGCGGCAAACTGCGCAGGGATCCATCATGAACAGGCTTTTCGCCTTCATTATAACAGGGAATATCTATCTGCAAAGAAGGACAAGCACCATTTGTGATCTTCTCCCCATCAAGCGGAGGACTTGACGTTTTTTCTGATGCTGCGTAAGTTCCTTGCCCTTCCTGCACCTGCCCAACCTCATCACCATCTACAGCAGTACCCTTGCAAACAACCAGCTCAACAGCCTGATCTTCTTTAGCAAATTGCAAGTGCTTATCACAAGGACTCTCTCTTGATGGAGCTTCTTGGCCAATAGCGATGTTAGATTGAGCCAAAATGCTTGCATTTTCTGCACTTTTCACCTGATTAAGCTCAACAAAACTAATTTTGGAGATGCTATGATTCAAAAGAAGCTTCAGGTGCAAGCTCAGAAAGAAAGTAGAAGCAGCGGTAATGGGGAGAGCAAACTGAGGAAACTTTGTGTACTCTGCATCAGAAACTGAAGAATTTCCCCCACTTTCGTCGCCATTATCTCTAGAGACATCTGAGGGCCCCATTGCTTCACCGGTCATCTTCTTGAGACCCTGATCAGTTAACCTTAGGTCAATTAATACTAGTTTTGCACAAGTAACAACGACAATACTAAGCACAAAGTAAGAGTGTGTGTGTGTGTGTGTGTGTGTGTGTGTGTGTGTGTGTGTGTGTGGACAGAGAAGAGAAGGGGGGCAAGAGATTGGGTCACAGAAGAATTGTAAATGTCAAGCTACTGAAAACAACAGAAAATCATGCACATATTACTCCACAACCCTAACTCCTGAACAGAGAAATTGCACATTCTGAGAAGAAAATGGTAAAGAGTATAATACCTCTAGCGAAGAGTCCAAAGCAGCTGGTGGCAGCAATGGGATGTCTCCATTTTGAAGCGCGTTGTAAGTGCATTCAGAAGGAGAAAGTTTCTCAACTAGCAAACAATTCTCCCTCAGTATCGATTCTAAGCACGACCTCTTCGAACGTTGTAATCTCAAAAAGTTGTAAAATCCAAACACAAGTTGGTTTTCACAACCTTGAACACTAGAGAATTTGAATCTAACAGAAGTTATCGGAGATCGCAAGCTTACAAATTTCACCTCCCCGTTAGACTCACCAAGCAGATTTAAAACTGAAATCGCAAATGCTACAGCCTTCCCCAAGCATCCTTCAAACAAGAGAAGCCTCAAACCAACAATGCTATCGACAAAAAGCATCTCCAACTTCACCACAGGCCACACGGTCACCAGTCTTCCATGATAAAGCAGAACGAGATCATAGACTAGCTGGGAATCCTCTACTCTAAAAGGGCGGAGAAGAGAACTGACCATGATATCGTTTGCTTCTCTTCTCACTAAATAGATTAATTTCAAGAAGCCCGTCTCTTCAATGGTCAACAAAGACCCGTGAGAATCCAATTTCCTCGACGTGAAGGCATCGTCCTCTACTCTTTGGTACAAGGCATCACCAGCCCGGCGAAACCGCTTCCTGTAGTAAACAATAGGAGATTTGCTGCCTTTCAGAGATCTGGAGCTCTTTGCAGTTTTCTCAACCTTTCCAGCACGAAAAAGTCCACCTGTTGAGACACGATCTCCATGAAATGCCGTTTGGCCTCCTTTCGGGAAAGAACCAGCAGAAGTGGCCCCACGTGTATCCACAGCATCAGCAGCAGATGATGAAGGCTTCGTTTTCAGAGATGGACCGACACTTCGTTTCTTTACAGCACGAGAAGAAGAAGATTTGACCCCACGACTTGAGCGTGCCAACCATGAAATGATTGGTTCTGTGTCCATATAATTGCTGATACAGCCATCATTGGCTGAAGTCAAAGGTCTCTCTTCCTCTTCTTTGGTAGGCTCCACCCTTCTCTTCCTGCTGCCTACTGCAAACTTGGTCTGAGCTTCACCAGGAAGTAGCAAGAGTTTGATACGTTCCTTTTGAAGGTCGATCCATTCTTCGTCACGGTCATCGTACTTGACGTGATGGAGTTTTTTTTCTCCATCATAGTCGTTTACGAGGCCATGGTACCAGCACTGGTCTAGAGGCCAGAAGACCTTAATTCTTTTGTTCAAAACCCAGTATGCATCCACCTGCTCAGAAGGAATTTCATAGAAATGCCTCCTTTTCCGAGAACGTAGCTTCTCTCCGTGCTGATTTCTTGGCCGCAAGGCTCTGTTAGCTGCTTTAACAGATGCAGAGCTTGGTGAAGCACGAGACGTACATCCTTGATCTAAAAATTTTCCGTTAGAAGATAACAGAAAATACAAGCTGTTTGATGATGGCGATGGAGATGGCGATGGCGATGCTCTACTCTTTGAAGAAAACCCAGTACAGCTTGGATCAAACCGTGAGGAGAGCATCCTAGCAGCATTTTCCTCCAGATTCTCCTCGTCATCTTCCTGCTGATCATCACAGTTTTTGATAAGCAAGTATATTAAAAAGCACCAAGGGGGTGCCTCCCATTTACAACCAAGAAGCTAGAAAATATGTAAGTAAAAACAACCTGCTGATCATCGCATCTCTTGGTGGAGACATCGACTGCAGAACCTGCCTCCACCACAGCACTTTGAGCGCCTCCCGGCTTCACCTCTCTCTGCTTTCGACGCTTCTTGACTGACTTTTTCGGTTTCCCATTGTCTGTTGCAGAACTCCCCAAAAGGTTATCCTGCTCCTGCAAAGGTCCGCCAATGCTATGCCCGTTCTCCTTCATATCATCCAAAGCATCCTCCTCTTTAATATTTCCACCGCCGCTTCGTCTTTCAGGATCACCGTCTGTTAGCTTCCCAGATGGATCAGCAAAATCCAATCTGCTGACGGAGGGCTCAGCTGGATTCGACTCTTGAGTATGCTTCAATCTTTTTCGCCCCAAACTTCCGCGCTTCCGCTTCGGAATTTTAACGACGTTGTCGTCCAGACTAAGTCCAATGCCATGCAAATTGCCATTTGAGCTCGGCCTCTCGTCCACCTCGGGCTTCGACTCCGACGAATCGTGCGAGCCGAAATGAGCCCCGGCATTAGTTACATCGCTCAGCCTCTTCTCCTTCCTCTTCTTCAAGCTACTCAGGGATACCTCCTTCTTACCCCTTTTCCTCTTATTCTCATCGCCACCATCGTCGGAGCTGATTTGCCTCTTCAAGTTCTTACTTTGCATCCTCCCGGCATCCTCCTTCGACGACCCGGCATTATACAGGCTCTTAACAGCCAGGCATCTGGCTTTCTTAGGAGCCTGAGCACCATTTGAGCTCCCCACCTCATGCTCCATCGACCAAACTCCAATCCCAACAACCCCACGCGTCTATCACATTCCATCACACAATCCCGCCCCCATGTTCCAGATCTGCAAACACCGAAAATGCCCAGGAAATCACGCGAGAAATCACACGAAAACGAATCCCGGAACCAGGGGGGGGATTCCCCCCCCCACCCCCCTAAGATCAGCCGACAACAATTCCCGAACAATCGAAACGCGAGAACCGACAGCCGCGGATCAACGAACAGGGGTAATGGCACTCACCTCAGGCGGCGAAGCTCGATACATCAGGGCCTGTCTCCCCGGCGGGCGCAGGGCGGCGGAGATCACGGGGCGAGGAGCGCGCGAGCGGCACGCGAATCCGGCGGATCCCTGGCCGGAACCCCGCGAAGAATCCGGCGAATTCGGGGAGGAATTCGCCCCCGCAATTTCTCTGCAGAAGAATTTCCGGAACCGCGAGCGAGACGGACCAATTTAGGGTTTCTTTTCGGTTAAACGACAGGGCGAAAAGGGGGTTTAGATTCAGAAAATCAGAAAATAACCCCCCCGCGCACACAAAAAATAAACAAAAAAAAAAAGAAAAGGTGAAAATGGAAAAGGAAAAAATGAAAAATTCTCGCGATGTGGAGGGCTGGGATTTACCTACGTGGCGCGCTGTGAGCCCCTTGATGGCGAGCTCGAGGACGAGATTTCTCAGGTGCGGGGTCCTCCTGCCTCCCTCCTTTGCCTCCTCTTCTTCTTGGGCTCTCCTTTGGATTTTGCGAATTTCGATTTGGGGATTTTTCGGAGAGTACGAGGAAGATTGGGGAATTGATGAGGGAATTGATTGGGGAGAACTTAAGAGCTTTTTTTGTTCTTGGTTGGAGGAAATGATGGAGAGAGCCCTGGGACCGTGAGAGGCAATTTATAGGGGCGAGGGGGGGGAGAAGGATTGGTAGGAGCAAGTGATGTTTTTCTTCTTACCATAATAATTGTCCCGGGGCTCCGGCATGATCCCGCCGGTCGTCGATGGCGTGTACGTAATTTGGGCGTGAAGGTTCGGGGCACACATAGTGTCTGCCCGAGAATCCTCCTCCCCGGCGAAGATGCGACGTGAAAAGTGTTTCAGAGAGGATTTCTCGGCGACCCATTTGACGATAGTCGGGCCCGGGGCTGGACGAGGGATACAGAGGGGGGGAGGTGGCAGGCCACCACCCCGCCCCTCGAATCCGTCGAACCCCGTCGCACGGCTCGCTTATTTATATCACCTTTCGGACTACCGCGATGTGGTAATTACGCTTTTAAGGAAATTTAATCTCCTTCGGAATGCATGTATCGAAACTTAATCCTTTTCGGAATGCATGTATCGAAATGGTTATGCCGTTGGGTTCTTACTAAGAATAAATTATTTTTTCGATATTCATAATTAAATTCCTTTTGCCTTAGTGGAAAAATAGAAAAAAAAATTTGGATTAGTATGTTGGGCCTAGGGTTTTACACTTTGGGCAACCACATCTGCCCTCCTTTTTTGGGTTAATTTGATTAGGCATGTATGCATTGGTGGCAACTTTATCCTATTCTCAAAAAATGGAAAAATTATTTGGGTATGTTAATAACGAAATTGCCTTTATGCTAGAAGAAAAATCAAATTTGAATTAGTCCCTTTGGACTTATAGCTTTTTATTACAAGCAATCCAATTTGCTGCCTTATTTGTTTATTTTGATTTACAAAAATAGAATGTTAGAGCTATTTAAGAAATGGCAAAGATGGTAAGACTAGTCCAAACGTGGCATGATGGCCCAATCGCTTTAGTAAGGAATTAAATGGTTTTAGACAAAATAGATTAAACCATCCCAATTAGAGCCAATTAATCACACCCTACCTACTCCTTCACCATTTAGCCCTCTTTCTTTTTATGATAAGAAATATCATCGCAATTTCTCAAAAATTGGAAATACGACTATTTGAGTATGTAAAATCCAAATATTGTGAAAAATATGCAGTAAGTACGTAAAGTTATATTTAGTTGTTAAGGAACCTATTTTGTCATTTTTCTGAATTTGTTTAAAACTTAAGAGGGTCATTGCAGGTTTCCAAGTAAATCGTGTCCATTTATTCATACATATTCTTTTTATGATATTCATCTCAATTTATCAAAAATTGGAAATACGACTATTTGAGTAAGTAAAATCCGAATATCGTGAAAAATATGTGGTAAGTACATAAAGTTATCTTTAGTTGTTGAGGAACCTAGTTTGTCATTTTTCTGAATTTGCTTAAAACTTAAGAGGGTCATAGCAGGTTTCCAAGTAAATCGTGTCCATTTAGTCCACTTCTTTTTATGATAAGAAATATTATCTCAATTCATCAAAAATTGGGAATACGACTATTTGAGTAAGTAAAATCCAAATATCATGAAAAATATTATGTAAGTACATAAAGTTATCTTTAGTTGTTAAGGAACCTATTTTGTCATTATTCTGAATTTGCTTAAAACTTAAGAGCGTCATTGCAGGTTTCCAAGTAAATCGTGTCCATTTAGTTCTCTTCTTTTTATGATAAGAAATCTCATCTCAATTTATCAAAAATTGGAAATACGACTGTTTAAGTATGTAAAATCCAAATACCGCGAAAAATATGCGGTAAGTACATAAAGTTATCTTTAGTTGTTAAGGAACCTATTTTGTCATTTTTCTGAATTTGTTTAAAACTTAAGAGGGTCATCGCAGGTTTCCAAGTAAATCGTGTCCATTTAGCCCTCTTCTTTTTATGATAAGAAATCTCATTTCAATTTATCAAAACTTGAAAATATGACTATTTGAGTATGTAAAATCCAAATACCGTGAAAAATATGCGGTAAGTACATAAAGTTTTCTTTAGTTGTTAAGGAACATATTTTGTCATTTTTCTGAATTTGCTTAAAACTTAAGAGGGTCATCGCAGGTTTCCAAGTAAATCGTGTCCATTTAGTCCTCTTCTTTTTATGTTAAGAAATATCATCTCAATTTATCGAAAATTGGAAATATGACTTTTTGTGTATGTAAAATCCAAATATCGTGAAAAATATGCGGTAAGTACATAAAGTTATCTTTAGTTGTTAAGGAACCTATTTTGTCATTTTTCTGAATTTGCCTAGAACTTAAGAAGGTCATCGCAGGTTTCCAAGTTTAGTTCTCTTCTTTTTATGACAAGAAATTTCATCTCAATTTATCAAAAAATTGGAAGTACGACTATTTGGGTATGTAAAATCCAAATAGCGTGAAAAATATGCGGTAAGTGCATAAAGTTATCTTTAATTATTAACGAACCTATTTTTGTCATTTTTCTGAATTTGCTTAAACCTTAAAAGGGCCATCGTAGGTTTCCATATTAAAAATTGGAAATATGACTATTTGAGTATGTAAAATCTAAATATCTTGAATATATGCATTAAGTACATAAAGTTATCTTTAGTTGTTATGGAACCTATTTTGTCATTTTTCTGAATTTGCCTAAAACTTAAAAGGGTCATCGCATGTTTCCAATTAAATCGTGTCCATTTAGTCCTCTTCTTTTTATGATAATAAATATCATCTCAATTTATCAAAAATTGGAAATATGACTTTTTGAGTATGTAAAATCCAAATGGCGTGAAAAATATGCAGTAAGTACATAAAGTTATCTTTAGTTGTTAAGGAACCTACTTTGTCATTTTTCTGAATTTGTCTAAACTTAAGAGGGTTATCACAGGTTTCCAAGTAAATCGTGTTCATATAGTCCTTTTCTTTTCATGATAAGAAATATCATATCAATTAATCAAAAATGTATGTAAAATCCAAATACTGTGAAAAATATGATGTAAGTACATAAAGTTTTCTGTAGTTGTTAAGGAACATATTTTGTCATTTTTCTGAATTTTGTTAAAACTTAAGAGGGTCATTGCAGGTTTCCAAGTAAATCGTGTCCATTTAGTCCTCTTCTTTTTATGATAAGAAATATTATCTCAATTCATCAAAAATTGGGAATACAACTATTTGACTAAGTAAAATCCAAATGTCATGAAAAATATTATGTAAGTACATAAAGTTATCTTTAGTTGTTAAGGAACCTATTTTGTCATTTTTCTGAATTTGCTTAAAACTTAAGAGGGTCGTCTCAGGTTTCTAAGTAAATTGTGTCCATTTAGTTCTCTTCTTTTTATGATAAGAAATCTCATCTCAATTTATCAAAAATTGGAAATACGACTATTTAAGTATGTAAAATCCAAATACCGTGAAAAATATGCGGTAAGTACATAAAGTTATCTTTAGTTGTTAAGGAACCTACTTTGTCATTTTTCTGAATTTGCCTAAAACTTAAGAAGGTCATCGCAGGTTTCCAAGTAGATTTGTTCATATAGTCCTCTTCTTTTTATGATAAGAACTATCATCTCAATTATCAAAAATTGGAAATACTACTATTTGAGTATGTAAAATCCAAATAGTGTGAAAAATATCCAGTAAGTACATAAAGTTATCTTTAGTTATTAACGAACCTATTTTGTCATTTTTCTGAATTTGTTTAAACCTTAAAAGGGTCATCGTAGGTTTCCATATTAAAAATTGGAAATATGACTATTTGAGTATGTAAAATCTAAATATCCTAAATATATGCAGTAAGTACATAAAGTTATCTTTAGTTGTTAAGGAACCTATTTTATCATTTTTCTAAATTTGCTTAAAACTTAAGAAGGTCATTGCAGGTTTCGAAATAAACCTAGCCTATTTATTCATATATTTTTTTATGATAAGAAATCTCATGTCAATTTATCAAAAATTGGAAATACGAATATTTGAGCATGTAAAATCCAAATACCGTGAAAAATATGCGGTAAGTACGTAAAGTTATCTATAGTTGTTAAGGAACCTATCTTTTCATATTTCTGAAATTGCTTAAAACTGAAGAGGGTCATGGAGGGTTTCGAAGCAAATTGTTCAATTTATTCATATTCTTTTATGATAAAAAATTTCATCTCAATCTATCAAAAATTGGAAAAATGACTATTTGAGCATGTACATCCAAATATCGTGAAATAAAGTTATCCTCAGCGTTTTGAGGAACCTATTTTGTCATTTTTGTAATTTGCTTAAAACTCGAGGGTCATTGTAGGTTCCAAAATAAAGCATGTCCATTTATTCCTCTACTTTTTAGGATAAGAAATCTCATATAAATTTATCAAAAATTGTTAATATCGACCAATTGAGTATGTAAAATCCAAATATTAAGAAAAAATTGTGGTAAGTACGTAAAGTTATCCTTAGTTGTTAAGAAACCTATTTTGTCATTTTTTTATAATTTGCTTAAAACTCGAGGGTCTTCACAGGTTTCGAATACATTTATTCCTATCTTTTCATGATAAGAAATATCATCTCAATTTATGAAAAATTGGAAATACGACTATTTGAGCATGTACAATCCAAATATTATGAAAAAATTGTGGTAAATACGTAAAGTTATCCTTAGTTGTTAAGAAACATATTTTGTCATTTTTTGTAATTTGCTTAAAA